AACTAAACAGACCATAGTTTGGATCTCTCTCTTTCAGGCTGTCAGGCCAGAAATTACAGATAGCTGACCCTCCAGCGGGTTTTCCAAGGCTATGAATCTCATAGAATGAGACTGTCTGTCTTCCTCTTGCAGAGCACCTGATGGAGTCAAACTCCTGCCTCTGGCTTGGCAGCACGAGTACATACTCACGAGGCCACTAGAATTCCTCCTGGATCAAGCATGCCTTGATTTTTAGACTAACTTTTCAAATGATATCAGTTTTTAGACTTACATCTTTGCTCTGTGACATTCTAAAGAGATCTTTGACAGCAAATTTGTCCAATATGCCTTTTGATTTCTTGACTACTGCTACCAGAGGTGTTTATTGTGGATCCAGGTAAAATGGAATCTTTGACTTTTCTTCATCTCTTATGATGTTTTCTATTGTTCTAATGGTGAAGATTTTTGCTTTCTTTTTTTTTATTTTATTATTTTTTGTGTGCGTGTACCATCAAATCAGATCTGACTGGTACAGGAGGAGATTGTCCCTCCTTCCCCGGCAGAGCATCTGGTGGATTCGAACCATTCGCCTCTGGGATTGTAGTTGCAGTTCCTTGCCACTAGGCCACCAGAGTTCCCCTGATTTTTGCTTTCTTAATGTTGAATTGTAATCCATATTGACAGCCGAAGTCTTTGTTTTTGAGTAAGTTCTTCAAGTCTCTTTACTTTCCACAGGCAAGGCTTCCTTCAGTTTTGATGTAATATTCTTCTTCATAGAATGCAATTCCTTGAATTACTACTAACCATACTTTATTATGATCCACATAGTAGAATACCTTTGCATAATCAATAAAACACAAGTAAACCATTTTCTGGCCTTCCCTGCTTTCATCTAAGCTTCTTCTGACATCAGCAATGATACCCTTGGTATCATGGCCTCTTCTGAATCCAGCTTGCATTTCTAGCAGTTCCCTGTTGATTTCTGGCAGTTCCCTGTTCCAGCTGAATAATCTTCAGAAAGATTTTACTTGCATGTGATATTAGTGACATTGAAAATTTCTGCACTCTGTGGGATCATCTCGTTTTTGGAATGAAGACAAATATGGATGTCTTCAATCAGTTGCACAGGCAGCCACCTCCCAGTTCCTTGGCATAGAGCATGTCAGGACTGTATCTGTTTCCTGAAACACCTCAGTTGGTATTTCATCAGTTCTTGGGGCCTTATTTTTTGCCAACACTTTCAGTGCAGCTTAGAATTCTTCCTTCAGTACTGCTGATTCTTATTCATATGATACTACCTGATATGGCCCAGTGTTGACCAATTCTTTTTGGTACAGTGACTCTGTATTTCTTCCACCTTCTTTTGATGCTTTTGGCATTATTCAAGGCTTTGCCTATAGAATCCTTCAGCGTTGATACTCAAGGCATGATTTTAGTCTTCATTTCATTCAGCCTGAAAAATGTTGAGCATATTCTTCCATTTTGGTTTTCTGTTTCCAGCTTTCTATTTCATTGTAATACTTTGTGTTGTTTTCCCAGGAACTCTGGTTGTGTAGTCCATGGAGGATTGTACTGCTAACCCAGGAGTATTGTCTCTTTGGCAGTTTGAGTCCACAGGGTGCTCTGTGGGAAAAAGATGGTCAATTTCATCTTGTGCAGTTTACAGTTTCTGAAAACCTCATGGTGAGTCACCTATAAGTTGATTCTGACTCAACGGCAATGAGTGAATGAGCTTGTCTTCTCAAGCTGCCCTTTGATATTTTCTATTCAGCTCATTTCAGTATTTCTTTGTTTTGGTTCTTTATATTTTACATTCTAATGCAAGTTTCAGAGTTTTTCTTACATCCATTTTAGTCTTTTCTTTCTTTGCAAAGACCTTTTGCTTTCCTCATAGATGATATTCTTGATGCCATTCCACAACTCATCTGCTCATTACTATTTGATGCATTAAGTCTAATATTGAGATAGTTTTAAAATGCAGTTGAGACAAACTCAAGGTCATATTTTGGCTCTTGTGAGCTTGTTTCAATTTTCTTCAGTTTTAATTTGAACTTGTATCTGAGTACTTGATGATCTGTTTCACAGTCAGTCCCTGGCCCTGTTTTGGATGTTGATATTGAGTTGTTCTACTGTCTTTCCACAGGTATAATCAATAGGATTCCTCATCAGGTGAGGTCTATACTATAGTTGCCATTTATGCTTCAAAAAGTATTTGCAAAGAATAAATAACTGATAGCACAAAATTCTGTTATGCAATTCTCTGAGTTTCATTTCTGCCATCAACTCATATTTTCCAACTTATTGATTTTGAATTTTGCATTCTAATCACCAGTCATCATTAATGCAAGCTGATTGTTTGAGCAATCTCTGACTGCAAAAGTTTGTCGGAATCTTTAGTGTCTCCACCTTTAGCTTTAGTAGTTGATTGTGTATTTGGATAATAGTTGCATTAACAGGCCTTTATGCATATGGATTGTATCCTATAACTCACAGTATTACACTTCAAGATATTTTGAAATGTTCTTTTTGATGATGAACACAACATTGTTCCTCTTCAATATGTCATTCTTGATATAGTGTATCCTATGGCTGTCTGATTCAAAACAGTCATTACCAAACTGACTCAGCTAACTAATGTCCAAGATGTTTGATCTTTCTGTGTTCTAGTTCGTTTTTTGCAATTTCCAATTTTCTTAGATTCATGCTTTGTGCATTCCACGTTCTAATTTTGAATGGAATGTTGCATCTGTTTATTCTTTTTTGAGTTTTGCTACATCAGCAAATGAAGACCTTTTCTTGGGTAAAAGCTTTACTCCACCTGTCACTAAGGTAGACATTGCTTTGAGGAGGTAGTTCTTCCTCAGTTGCATTTTGAGTGCCTTCCAACCTGAGTGGTTCACCTTTTGGACTATATCCAACAATGGTCATCTGTGTTTGATTGTGCAGCATTATTCACAACAGGAAAGAGATTAAAACAGCTCAAATGCTCATCAACAAAGGGATCAATAGAGAAACGTGGTATATTTACACAATGGATTATTATGCAGCACTGAAAAATAATGAAGAACTCTTGAAACACTACACAGCATAAGCGAGTGTATAGGACACTATATTGAGTAAAATAACTCAGTCACAAAAGGTCAAATACTATACAAGGCCATTTGAGTCCATGCTGCTCCTTGGAGGCAAGGATTCTGGGGCTTCATCCGACATACTTTGGACAGGTTGCGAGGAAGAGGGAGGGACATCATGCTTGGAAGGGTGGAGGGATAGCGCAGGACAGGAAGACCCTCAATGAGAAGGCTTGATTCAGTTACTGGGGTAATAGCAGTAAGTGTGTCAGAGACAATAAGATTGGCACAGGAGAGAGCAGAGTTTATGGTTGTTGTACACAGGGTCACTATGAGTCCCTGGCGATGTGACAGAACATAACAACAACAACAACAACAACAACACAACCAACAAATCAATGACAACAAATTACAGAAAGGTGACATATGTAATCATTCTAATATTGTTACAATCGAGGGAGAGTAGGAAATGAATGGACAGACAATGAACACTTTATTGGAATAGATGAAGGAAAAGACAATGTGAAATAAATGAAAGATTAGACGCTATGTTTATTGTAGTTAACATTGTAGAATAGGATATGGATGACTGATTTAAAAAAGCTAAAGAAAGGTTTATACACAGGTAAAAACAATCATGAAGGGTAGGAGGAGGGAGAGAGAAACAGAGATTAACTGATGGATATTGGTTAAAGGGAAAAGTAAGGTACAGTGAAGATGTGATGAGATATAATAAATGGCATTGGTCAATTGTAATTAAAGTTAGAAAACAAAATGTATGTGAATGATGGAGTGAAAAGAAATTTAAAAAGGGGTTGAATTATGTGCCCTAGAAAGGTACTTAAAGTCCTAGACCCTGGTATGTGTCAGTTTAGAAATATGATCTTATTGGTAGTTAGGTTAATGTGAGGTCACACCAGGGGGGGACCCCTAATCCAATAGGAGTGATGTTTTATAAAAGAGAAGAGACACAGAGGGACACATGGAGGGTCTCCATGTGAAAAAGTGAAGCTGCAGCCATAAGAAAGCGACACTGGGGCTGCCAGGAGCTGCAGAGATGAGGAAGGACTTTCTCCAAAGCATTGGAGAGAACACAGCCCTGATAACACCTGAGTTCAGACCTTTGGCCTAACTATTCTGTTTTTAAAGCTACCCAGGCCGTGGTATTTTATTATGGGAGCCATAGAGGAGCTGTAAGAGCTGACCTGCCCAGCTGTCTTGCTGGCCCTCCCTTCCTCTACCTTTCCCTGTGCTGACAGCATTGGACTCTTAGAAAACAGCCTCAACATCAGAGCCTTCATCAGCATGAAAGTTGTATTCATCAGTGACTTTGAATAAGAAATGCCCTTCTCTCTGCCTTTATCTCTTTATCTATAAAAGCTGTCAGTGGTGAGAATTACAGCTTAGTGGTAAGGAGTTGCACTGCCAACCCAAAGGTAGGTGGTTTGAATCCATCAGCTGCTCTGCAGGAGAAAGATGGGCAATCTCTTGCTGTGTGATCTACAGTTTCTGAAGTTCTGACTTGACAGTATATAACAACAACAATCTTAAAGTGTTTTCAGGGGAAAACATAATTTCAGCCCAAAGCCCAGCACTTAGTACTCTATCTCTCATTGCTGTCATGTAGGAACAAACTCGTAGCTGACCCTCCAGGGGATTTTCAAGGCTATGAATCACAGGGAACGAGATTGTCCATCTTTTTCCTTTGGAGCAACTGGTGGAATCAAACTGCCTGCCTTTAGCTTGGCAGCACAACACTGTGCCTCCTTGGCCACCAGAGCTCACAGGTACACAGTGAAGGCTCAGTAAATGCTCACTACAATGTAATTCTTGGTCTCACTCTTGCATTTCATACATGAGAGAGCTGGGGCCAGTTGGCCCCCAGTGATGGCGAGACCCTCCCAGGACCCTGGTTCTTCGCCTGACAGTGGTGTGGCATCCCTGGTTTACCTTCATTGTTCTCGCCTGGCGGATGGTAGAAGGAGAGCCCCAGTGAGATGATGGCTGCAATTTCCAGGATGATCAGGGTCACGTCTTGCAGTGCTTCCCACACGAGCTGCAGGAAGGTTTTTGGCTTCTTTGGAGGTATAAAATTTTGTCCAAAAATCTGCTTTCTCTTCTCCAGGTCTGGAGCAGTGCCTGGCAAACCTGTGGACATAGTGCAGAGAGGTTACTGGAAGGGCTGGGAGAGACTCAAGCATTCTCCTTAGAGGGACTCTGAATGGATGGGAGGCGGGAGTGTGATGGGGACCAAGGCGGGAAAGTGAGGAGCATGCTGCCTTCTGCTCCCTGAGAATGCAGGAGGATCCCTGTATAACATGAGAGACTATAGACCCCACTGAAGAGTGGTCCCCAGACACAAGCTCAGGATCTCACTTCCAGGATCTTGGAGTGTGACCTTATCTAGAGAAGAGGTTTTAGGAAATGAAATTAAGTGAAGGGTTTCAATTTGAGGTGATTCTGGCACACCCAGGCAGGCCCCAGATCCTATAAGGAGGGCTGCTCTAAGAGACACATGGCACATGAAGACAGATGCAAATGCAGGAGTAGTACAGCTCCAAGCGGACAGATTACCCCTTGGGGCTTGGAGGACTGTGGCCCTGCTGCCACCTTGATTTCAGACTGTCTTCTAGAGCTGTGAGCCACAGGCACTGTGCACACATCCCTGGATCCACTCGGAGGCCCCAGCTCCGGCTCTGGGCTTCTGTTGACCGTCTCTGATAAGCACATGCTCAGGAGCTGCTGCCAGAATTCCAAGCCCAGTCTGACACTTGTATCTCTCTGAGCCTCAATATCCTCTTCCCCAGAGGGACAAACATCATATTTCATCATTTTATCACTGCAGGTGATAAAGCCGTGCAGACAAGTGTTTACTGAGCACCTAATCCATGCCCATCTAGCAACTGCCAGTGTTCTTGGGGTTCCCGGATTGGTGGATGCCTCTGTTCCTTCATTCCTCTTTCCCCACATGCTTCTGCGTCTGTGCAGCTCTTTATACAGCTCAGAAATGAATCTCCACTTGAAGCATTGTCTATCTTTCTTCCCTGGAGAAGCTGGTGGATTTGAACTGCCTGTCTTTGGATTAGCAGCACAGCTCCTTATCCACTAGGATTCTAATATTCTGCTAATATCCATTTACTCATTCACTCAGTATTTACTGAGTCCCTCTTGGGGTCTGTGGACAGAAATGCAAAAGGATAGGTCTAGTGACTTATAGAGCATAAGAGCTCTCTGGTCTTGGCATTCAGTCTTGGCTTTCAAAGTGTGAAGAGACTGTTGCTTTCCTCTCTGTGTTGAGAGCTGAGAGTCCTCAGGCACCAGCAGAGAAAGCTCCATGGAGCAACACTGGCTGACTCCTGAGTGGGGAGCCCTGGGCCACTTGTCTCTGTGAAACCCCATGTGTGCTTCACCTGTCAATGTGGGGAAGCCACAGAGATGCAGCCTGTGCTGTGAGAAGGAGGGAGTTCAGAGCTAAGCTATGCCCATTTTATAGCTGTCATAACTGAGGCCTCCCTGTGACCAAGCTGCTGGTTAAGGGTATTTCTGGGTCTTGAGAACTCAGGACAACAATGTTCTGTACCTGGCAACGTGGCCTTGCAGCCTCCCACACTGGCAGGGCCATCAGGGACATTCATGTTCTGAGCAATCAGCTGAGCAGTGACTCCTGGGCCTCAGGAAGACTCTGGGTTTCTCACCCCATCTCTAATGTACCTGGAGGTCACAGCTCCAAATACCTCTACATGGGAGGTATTAAATACTTCTTTAGACTCCCTAGGAGAGGGAAGCCATCAAAGATCTGAGCATCATGGTGTGCACATACCAGGTGTTCTGGAAGTGGATTTTTATTAAGGGAGGAGGGAGAACTCAAGAAGGTATCTACTGGTCTTCAGAGGACGAGACTACTGCCAGTTCACATTGGCCTGGTGAAGCAGTTTTCTATGTTTTTGACCAGTCAATTCCCTTTCCAAGCCGCAGTTTACTCATCTCAACAATGAGGAAGCACAGTAAGATGTATGGACTCCACAGAGCGCAGGTCCCAATTCACACAATGGGTTCCTCACAAGGTTTGGTGTTGACAAAGAAGCAGCTCAGTGTGAGTGAGGTCAGCCCTTCTCAAGGTACCTCCAAATGGGAGGTGGTTTCTGAACCTGTGGAAGTTACATGAGTGAACATTTGATAATGAACATGCCCCTAGATAGTGGGGAGTCCACAACAGCTCTGAGGGTTCTGTCAGGCTAGGGCTCCACAGGCCCAGCACAGAGACCCACATGCTGGGAGAGGGCAGAAGTTTCAGAGGTAAAGAGCTGTGGGCATGAGGCTAGCCTTGTGAATGAATTAAGTAGGAGCAAGGAGGATTGGTGGAGATTAGGACAAGGTGAAAAGTCTTGGACCTTGTAAAAGGAGGAGGTGGTTTTCCAGCTCTTATAGGGAAATGGAAAGGGAGGGAGGAATGGAAGGAATGGAGGAATGAGGGAGGAACTGAAAGAATGGAGGAATGAGGAGAAGGGGGAATGGAGGGAATAGGGAATGGGGAAATGAGGGCATGGGAGCAATGGAGGGCTCGTAGAATGGAGGGAATAGGGGGATGGGGGAATGAGGGCATGGGAGGAATGAGGGGATGGGGGAATGGAGGGAATAGGGGGATGGGGAATGAGGGCATGGGAGGAATGAGGGGATGGGGGAATGGAGGGAATAGGGAGATGGGGGAATGAGGGCATGGGAGGAATGAAGGGATGGGGAATGGAGGGAATAGGGGGATGGGGGAATGAGGACAGGAGAGGAATGAGGGGATGGGATGAAGGGAATAGGGGGATGGGGGAATGAGGACAGGAGAGGAATGAATGGATGGGATGAAGGGAATAGGGGGATGGGGAATGAGGACAGGAGAGGAATGAGGGGATGGAATGAAGGGAATAGGGGGATGGGGAATGAGGGCATGGAAGGAATGAGGGGATGGTGGGCTGAGAGGATAGGGAAATGGACGAGTGAGAGGACAGGAATGAGGGACTAGAGGAATGGAGGTAGTGGGGGAAATGAGGGACTGTGGGGAGATGGGGTGGAGGCTATGAGGAAATTGAGGAATGGGTAGAGAAGATGAGAGGAGTGGGAGAATGGGAATGGAGAGGACGGAGGAATGGGAGGTGAGGGAACAGAAATAAAGGGCAGGCGAATTTGAGACAGGAATGGGGATAAGGTGATGGGGGATGGGAGACATGAGAATTAGAGGAATGGGGTCATGAGTGAATGAAGGGCATGAGGCAATAGAGGGGGTAAGGGGTAAAGAAGATAGGGGGATGGAGGGCATAGAAAATGGGGAGAATGGAAGGATATGGGGGAATGGAAGAATAGAGAAAATGAGGAGATAGGGGAATGGAGGAATAGAGAAATGGAAGGTCAGAAGGGAAGGGGACTGAGGGATTAGGGGAATGAGGATGGAATGGAATGGGAGATGGAGAAATGAGGGGACTGGAGGAATGGGAAATGGAGAAGATGGAGGATGGGAAATGGTAGGATGGAGAGGGAAGGGAGGGAAGGAGGGAAGAAAATAGGGACGGAAGAGTAAGGAGATTGGCAAACAACAAATGCTGGTGAGGTTGCAGAGAAACTGGAAACCTTATTCACTGTTGGTGGGACTGTAAAATGGTACAACCACTCTGGAAGGCAGTATGACATTTTCTCAAAAAGTTGGAAAGAGAAATGCCATTTGATCCAGCATTTCCACTACTGGGAACATACCCTAAAGAAATAAGAACTGTCACTCAAACAGATATATGCACACCCATATTTATTGCGTGTTGTTCACAATAGGAAAGAGATAGAAACAACCAAAGTACCCATCAACAAATGGATGAATAGAGAAGCTGTGGTATATTCACACAATGGAATACTATACAGCACTGAAAAACAAGGAACCCATAAAATATTCTACAACATGGGTGACCCTGGAGGACATTATGCTGATTGAAATATCTCAGTCAAAACACTGCTTTATTCCACTGCTATAAAACAGGACTGACATGGGGATTGAGGGAAAACTAAGAAAAGAATGAATACACTGGATTGAAACAGATGAGGGAAAGAACTGTCTAAAAGAAATATATGATTAGGTATTATGTGCATGACAATAGTCCAGAATAAGAGGTGCATAGCAAAGTGGACTTGGGGGGTGGAGGGAGAAAATTGTACAACATTGTATAATTGTACAATGAAAGAATTTCTTTTCAAAGGGAAAAGTGAACTGGGGGGTTGGGTAGGAAGGAAAATGTACAACAATGAATGAATAAAAATCCAGGTTCTCTATAAACGTTTGTTAAAATTTCAATTACCAGAAAAAAATAAGGAGATTGGAAGTAGAGGGGAATGAGGGGATAGAATGAAGAGGATATGGAGTGGGGCAATGAAGAGAATGGGGATGAGGTGGATGTGCGAATGGTGACAATTGGGGAATGGGGATATGGAGATGTGTGGGTAGAAGATAAGGATGTGGGGATGGTGGGCAGGGCGGTGAGATGTGGAGATAGGGTAGGGGAATTGGAGAATGGGAGAAATGAAGGGGTTTGGGGGATGGAGGATGAGGGAATAAGAGGATAGAGGAATAAGGGAATGGGGCAATGGAAGATGTAGAAAGGAGAGATGAGGGGATAAGGGGATGTGGGGATGAGGGAACAGGGGAATGAAGCCAATGGGGGAATGGACAAGGTGGTGGGGGTGGGGATGGGCAGAAAGGGAAAATAGGGAAACTGAATTGGAGTTCATTCACAAGTCATTAGCAGAATCAAGACCCAAACCTTATTCCTAGCTTCATGTTCTTTTTTAGGCCCCTGTTTGTATTTGTAGAAAAAGAAAAATTCCTCTATGACAACCCACAATTCCATACAGTGTCTAACATCAGTCCCTGGACCTTTCTTTTTGTTTCTGTGTTACTAGGACCTTGCTAGGCTGTCCGGTGATGTTTAACATAGCATATTAATGTTTATTATAGTAAGCTGTTTTATCTAAACGGCCATCTCTAACACCAGCCTTCTTTCACACTATCCTTGTTTATATTCCCCAAAACAGAAGGTGTGGACACTAAGATATGATCTGTGGGAGGGATGAGGGTGAGCAAGGTTTCATCCTCAGAGACACAATTTTCTCATCAATAAAAC